CTGGATACTATTGGCTAGAATTTTGTTGAGAACTTTTGCATCTATGTATGTTCATGAGGGATATTGGTCTACAATTTTATTTTTCAGTGATGTCCTTGCCTGCTTTTAGTATGAGGGTAATGCTCACTTCATAATATATATTTGGGAGTTTTCTATCATTTTCTGTATTTTGGAATAGTTCGAGTAGACTTGGTGTCAGCTCTTCTCTGAACGTTTTTTAAAAATCTTCAGTAAATCCATCTGCATCTGGACTTTTATTTGTTAGATGTTTTTTAATGACCTGTTCAATTTCTTCTTTTGTTGTAGGTGTCTTCAAGTTTTCTACGTCACTCTGTGTTAGTTTAGTTAGGTCATGTTTTTCTAAAAGTGTATCCATTTCTTGTAGATGTTCAAATTAGTTGGCTCTGTTGTGATGCCACCTATATCATTTCTTATGTGTGTTATTTGCATCCCCTCCCTCTTTTCTTTTGTTAGATTTGCCAGTGATTTATCAATTTTATTAATTCTTTGAAAGAACCAGCTTTTTGACTTGTTATTTCTTGTCTTTATTTCTTTTCTTCTGGTTACTGTAGGCTTAAGTTGCTGGTCTTTTTCTAATTGTTGGAGGTATTGTGTTAATGTGCTGGTTTTGATTTTATTCTCCTTTTCGGATTAGTACATTTACTGATACAAACTGCACTCTCAGCACTGCTTTTGCTGTGTCCCAAAGATTTTATTTTATTTATTTTTAAAGATTTTTTTAAATGTTTTATTGTGAATTATATGATAGTTTACATGAGAGAACCTCAGTTCCATATTCATTCCATCGTATATCATTCCATTGCCATGGTTCCAATCCCCTCCATGCATCCTCTTCCGACCAAAGGGCATATCCTAGGAGCCCATGCTCTACACTCCCCCCTCCCCCCTTAGTCTTCCGACCACAGTTCCTCTCCCTCTCTGGATGCAAAGTCCCCAGCCGCTTCATCCCTCCATGTCATCATCTCTGTCTCCATCTCAGGCATCTCTGGTTCTCTGGGTGGGGTCCTGTTCTTGGCTCTTATCCGTTGGTGGTCCCAGAGACCTCCGCTCCTAGACTGGAGAAATAATCGCTCTCTTCCTTGCTACAAAACATCTACCCTTGCATTTCTAACACTCACAATCCGTCTTGATAACCATTATTCACTACAGTATCGCACGTAACCCATCTGTATTTCATTTCATCAGCTCCACCTAGACAAATTGGATAGTGCTCACTGGTGATTCTGCCTTCCTCCATGCCCCCTAGTTCTAGGTTCCCTCTTGAAAGCTTGTAAGCCAGTTACTTCTTGCCTTTGTAGTCCCTCCCTCCCCATTTGGGTATCCAGTGTCCAAGTTGCCCCTCTCTGTCTACTCTGTGTGTGGAGGGGGTGGGAATGTTTCTTGCTGTAAGGATTTGTTACCTCTTTTGTGTCACTGCATTCATATGCATAGGTCAAGTTCACCAAAGATTTTAGTATGTAGTGCTTTCATTCTCACTTCCTTCAAGGATTTTATTTTATTCCACTTTTTATTTGTTCTATCATCCAGTAGCTTGTAAGCTTGTTATTCTGTTTCCTTGTATTTGATTTTATTTCCTAATCTTCCTGTTGCTGACGTATAACTTTATAGAATTATGATCTGAGAAGAAGGTTTGCAGGTTTTAAGGCAGTGTGGTATTAAGTTGACGAATGTATGTTGCTGTATTCTTTGACACTCACCAACTGCCTTCTGGTGGGTGTGATCAAGACATAAGCTTGAGCACCATTCTCTGTTTGCTGTTTATGTAATTCAATTGAGGGTGGATTTAGCTGCTGTTGGTTGTTGTCTGTGATCCAGTATAGAGCAGCTGGTATTGACTGTGCCCCAATTGGTGGGACTTAAGAGGGCATAACTGTGGTTGAGCTATATCGTCTCAGTTTCTGTCTTCAGTCCGGTGAGGCAAGAAGAGAAAACACTCTCACAAGATAGAAGGAAAACAAACAAACAAAAGAAAAGAAAAAATAGCAAACAACTGTGGAAAAATAAGTTGAATGCTGTGCACCATCTATTGGCCTCCTACCTTCACAGCCACCTGAGAAATTTCAAGGTGGTCCCATTGTGCCTCTCTCATCTATAAATAGTCTTTTTCTTTTCCTTTCCCATTATCTCTACCCCACACAGCCATTCAGCAGCTTCTCTTAATAAGAACTAACTCAGGGGTGGCCATGGCCAACTCTGCAGATTGGGAGCAGGGCTGTTGCTGCTGTGTCTACCCCTTCAACTGTGTGCACAACCATGGAGTTCACACAGTTCTGCCTGCCTAGAAAGTGGGACCTTCCTTGGAGCACAGGTCTCACCTCTGATTACCAGGGGAGTGCAAGGAACCAGAAAAGAAAAGAGAAAAAACTATCGTACCTGTATCTGCAAGTCACAGGCTGATTCCTGAAATGCAAATGTTTTCTTGTCTCTTATTCCACTCACACATGCTCAAGATGGCTACTGAAAGTCCAGTCAGAAGTCTACTTCTTTTCTGCCATGTATGTTCAACTCTCTCCCCGCAGCACTCAATCCACTTATTCATCCTTTTATCTGACGTTCAGAGATCTAGGATAAACCTCTGAATCTGTCAGATCTGGTTTTCCATGTTCTTGCTGCACAGGATCTGCACAGCGTTTCTGCCTGGTCCACCATCTTGCCTAGCCTCCCTATTTCACTAATTTATTATTTATTTCATGCTGGTGGCTGTGGTTTACTTTACTCCTCTTTTTCCAGTTGTTGCAGATATTGCATTAATGTGTTAATTTGGGTTCTTTATTCCTTTTGAAAGTGTACATTTATTGCTACCAATTGCCCTAGAAATTCTACTTTTGCTGTGTACCAAAGGTTTTGGTATGCTATGCTTTCCTACTCATTTGATTCAAAGAATTGTTAAATTTCATTTTTATTTGTTCTATTAATCAAAAGAGTCCTGGTGTGGCACTGTGGGTTAATGCACTGGACTGCAAAGTTTATCTGAATATCAAGGTCGGCATTTCAAGCTCACCAGTTGCTCCTCAAAAACCCTATACAGGGTTGCTATGAGTCCGAACCAACTCAACAGTACTTAACAACAACATTTACTCAGAATCTTCTAAGTAGGATGTTATTCAAATTTTTCATGTATTTAATTTTTTCCCTGATCTTTCTATTGTTAATTTCCAATTTTATAGCATCATGATCTGAAAAGATACTTTGTAATATTCCAATGCTTTAAAATTTATTGAGGCTCGATTTGTGGCCTAACGTACGGTCCATTCTGGATAAAGTTCCATCTGCACTGGAAAAGAATATGTACTGTGCTGCTATTGGGTTGAGTGCTCTGTAGAAGACTGAGGACACGTTGGTTGATTGTGTTTAGTTCTTCTGTGTCTTTCTTGAGTTTCTTTCTAGTTGTTTTGTCATTCATCGAAAGTGATATATTAAAATCTCCTACTATTATTATGGAGTCCTGGTGTGGCACAGTAGGATAAGCACTGGATGGCAAGGTTGGTTTGAACCACAAAGTTGGCAGTTCAAACTCACCATCTGCTCCTTGCTAACCCTATACAGAGTT